CAAGCCCATGATATGCTATCATTTAGCATTGGTGAAGAATCACTTGACAATTACATAACACATGTAACAATTGGTAAGCCTAGTACCACCAATGTTGTCCGCCATTGCAAACTCCTTACCATGGCTTCTCCCAAAGAAAATGAAAAAAGGTAGCTGTGACATGTTTGAGAAAGAGATTAGCATGGTATAACAGGACAAGCCTAAAGCATAATCTCTCAAAAGAGCAAAACTCACCTTATCCTCAAGAACTGTCAGATGAGATAGGAATTCCTCAGAAAAGCTTAAAAATCGATGCAATTCCTGTCAAGTATTCCACAATAAGCTACCACCTAGGTGGATTTATGATGCATGAATTATTGATGCTATATTTCTAATTAACACAAAACCCCTGAGACGTACCAGAACATTTGAGGAATACGTTAAGTTTATTTTCAATCAATTTGCACTTGAACACTATAAAGCTAGCGCAAGAGAGGTACAACTTATATTTGACAGAAAAAGGCGACAAAGTTTTAACTGAAAACAGTTTGAGCAAAGTCATCATGATAGAAGCAAACAGTCTTCAAAGCACGTATGTGTCCCAGTCACACTCACACCAATCTACCAAGGGTTTGGTCACTGGGATTGAAGCACTGGGATCATCTCTAGTTAAATCAGGAAGATTTTTACTTAGAACATTTCAAGTACTTGAACTAGCTGAATGTTTCTCCGGTGATGGTTAAGATGATGCTATTGAAATCATTGGTGGAAAAAACCCAGTATTGAAATGCGTACAGCACTACGGAACAAATAGTAAAGAAGCGGACTGCAGAATTTGGAGACATGCTACACAAAGCACAGTTGCAAGCAAAATTTCTATTTTTCCCTTGATACCGCTATTTACAGTATAGGATTAAACTATATGTCATTCAGTTCTAAGTATTACTTAAAGCACAGCAAGCAGTGCTGTGTAGGATATAACAGCACAAAGGGTGCAGTTGAGATTGCAATACAGCACGAGGCATGAAGTGCCGAGTACTTTATTGCAATTGAAACCCCACCCAGCGTGCTGTTATACCGTAGGTTGGGTTATATTTGTGGCTGCTAATATTCGCAGTGATAAAAACTAATAAAGAAGTTCAATTAAATACCATGGAAACAAATTGATTGTTGCTATGACAATTGACCACGTGTTTATACAATTACAGTGTTCAGCAGCTAATTAGCTACTCTTGAGCAGTTTGAGTAGAGCCATCCAGACTCCAGTTCTGTATCTGTTATCTTCTTGTATAGATGGACCGCTACCTTTGAATTCTTTGCTACAAAATCACTGCTGGTCGGTCGGTCATGATTATAAACCACACCCAAGTTAATAAAACTAACTAGAATGGGTGGAGAGCCCCAAGACACAGCGAGGCAGAGTGAGTAGAGTATTTCTGAAAAGAACTGGCTAAAGCAGCTTCAAAGAGTCCAAGGATTAGTAGCAACAAGAAGAATAACAACTCAAGAACACTGCAATCGGGTGCTGTGCTTCAATAACGCGTCGTTTTCAATTAAAATAGCATCTAGTTGCTATGGCAATTGCTAGCTGCGGGGAAAAATCGCAAATATTAGCAGCCGCGAATATAACTCGACCTACGGTATCCTGCAGAGCACATGCTACCTGTGCTTTAAGTGACTTATGGTTACTAGGGGGCGTACTAAAAGAACCGCCCTAAAGAACATGACCACGTGCTTCAATCTTGGAAAATGGCAGAGAAGGGGACCGTTAGAAGTAGATAAAACTGGCCCTAGTGACTGTAGGGAAAGCAAAAGAGCCAAGAATGAAGAGTGATTTCCGTCTCCTATCAAGAGTGAAGTTTTACAGAAAGCTGCTGAAGGTGTGGTGCCTAACAACATCAAGCAAAGCACAAGGTGTGCCTTAAATGCCTTCCTTACCTGGGTAAGAGAGCGCAACAAAAAATGTCCTGATGAAGAAATAGACGAGACTATCTTTTGCTCTTCAGATGCTGAGCGTGTCTCACACGTACAACTATGCCTTGTCACACTTGAAGCCAGGAAGGTAGATGGAGAAAGGTACCCACCTTCTACGTTGAGGAATCTACTTAGTGGACTGAACAGAGAGTTTGTTAAGACTAAAGTTACTTTTGGCATTTTTGATAAAAATGATTATTGCTTTACAGAGCTTCGAAACACTCTAGATTCTATCAATAGTCAGTTACACCAGGATGGTATTAGTGTTTCTACAACATATGCTGAAGTCTTGACTGTGCAAGATGAAGACCTACGCTGGGAAAAAGGAACACTTGGTGTTTCCTCTTTGACTGTTCTCCAACACACAGTATTCTCAGGGGCATATTTAGGAATTGAGGAAGGGGGGTGCTGAGGGCACGCGAAGCGTGCTGCAATTCTGGCCACACCCACTTTTACGGCAGTAAAATGGCCTTTTCCTGCATTTTTGTCAATTATGGGTGGGGCTAAGATCCTTTCAAGCATACTGGTACTTCTGATTGCTCCTTAAAGCACTGGAAACTGCTGAAGTCATGATCAGGGGGCTAGATAACTTTGTTAAGAGGCTTGGTAGTGGTGCAAAAGTCCAGGACTTCAGTAATTTTTTTCTGAGCCCAGCCATGAGGGGGGGCTCAAGCACCATTCAGCCCAATGCTAGAAACCCCCCTGATTCTTCTACATTGGTTTACATTTTGTGTTGCGAGGTGTTCAGGATAAGTTTGGTCAAGCAGAAGAAGATAAACCAGTGCAAAAACAAGAATCAAGTGCTACTCATTAGATTCCAAGGTCTACTGGACTCATTAATTGCACAATTAATTTCAACATTTACAATAAGTGAGCCAGTGTCTCTTTAAAGATTATACCATTCATTGCATCATTTACTCTAAAAATTGATTATTTCCTTTACTTCGGTTCTAAGTCACACCCACTGTGGGCAACTATCATAACAGCATACCTAGTGATAACTGTGATGTTATGCAGTATAATGTACTGGCAGCACCTTTGGTACACCCATTCAGTAGACTATAACTCTAGATAAGTGCTTACAGTGCTATAAAAAGCATCATTCATTGATTGAAATAACTTTCATCATGCTCTCATAAATGACTCAGACTTAGCATCTGTTACAAAAACATGCCTCGCCAACATCTTACAAACCTTAATTTATTTGTACTGGTAGTGACAATGTGTCTTTTTTTAAAAAGGTTGGAAAGGCTACAGTCTTTAATTACTTTTTCAGCAGGCCAGTTTCATATGTAGTGGAAATGCTGGCTCATTGTAAGAGAAAACAGCTTCTGTTAGATTAAGTGGCTTTTTAGCTTCACTTAAATTGGTAGGTACAGTGTACTTTAAAAAGCACTTACCATCATTTTGTCTTATTGTATGGGCATGAAACTCCTGATCAGTCTTTTAATTCCATTGATCAGACTCTTGATTCACATGCAAGACACAAACTATGGTTTGAAAGAATCAGAGAAATTGTTAGCAACCAAATAAAATGTGAAGGAGTACCGTCATGTACATCATTACAAAGACACTGGATGAGGTCTTGCTAGATTTCAACTATGTGGGCACATTCACACATAGATGACTTACATAAAAATTTACCAAATCCTCACCTTGATGGTTGGTTGTTATCAGAAGAAGGATTCTATTGACTGGGAGGATAAAAACGTTAAGTCTGAAATAGAAAACAGTATTAGCACATTACTGAAAAGATGCAAATGTAAAACAGTGTTAGGTAAAATGCGGCTGTAGGAAAAAGCAAACAAGTTGTGGTCCTGGTGTGAATGTCAGGATTGTGAAAATATACCTGTACAACACCCAGTCAATAGTGGCGATGATAACGAGACTGACACAATTTCTGAGATTAAATTAGACAGTGATGAAGAAGACACCAGTGATGTAGAGGATCTTGAAACTGAAGTAGTAACAGAAACAAACTACTTTACTAAACTTACAAGAGATGGTTACATCATTGCTTAACTCTGTTTATATAGTTTATATTATCTAGTGTTATTCTGAATATAGCTTTGTCACAAATCTATAACATTACATGCAAAGGACTATAATCATTTTAAACAGCAAGAAAATTAATTGGAGAAAGAAATAACAACCAAAGTTACTGTGTTCTTAAGCATTTAAATACACAAAAATTAACACAAACAGATAAATGTGTTACTGCTTCAAACATCTCCCTCAAAACAATGAACTGCACTTACAAATGAAAGTTTCAACCTACAAAAAGGAATATTACATGATCCTTTGACTTTATAACTGAACCATGAGATATTTAGGAGCTGTCAGTTTTCTTATAAAGCTAAAATATGAGGCAACTCTAAACACAGAAAGGAACCTACATGGCATTCATTTTATATTAATCAAGGCCCACGCTTATGCAAATAAATTTCTTATTTTGTGCACAGCAGTTTTCTGGCTGTGTGACAAAAAAGAGAAGAAAAAGGGACTAGTACTCCACGCAATAGGTAGCAGCAAAGAGGGCAAAGGGGGCTAAAGTTCCCCCCCCCATATCTTCAAACAGAAGGGTTGAGCCTCCTAAAACATCTCTGCATCCTTAACTGATATAATTTTTTAGTAAAACTATGCCTGCAGCAGTATTAATTTTTTTCAATTTCAATTTTTAATCAAAGAAACACAAGGCAAACACTTTAAAATGTAACAATAAAATTTAGCAGCCATTCTCTGTATAAGACCACATCCCCTTTAATGACTCAAAGCCCCAGACCATAAATAAATTGATCTGCAGTTTATGTTCATTGCTAACACCAACTAGCAATTTGATGACCCGACTATTCAGTGCCATTTGCCCCCCTATCTAATACCGAATTTACCAAATTTTTTGCACTCCCAGTGTCAAAATGCATGGGCAAAATTCTGAACCCATGAAGTGAATACTAAGTCTAATTACCTTCAAAATTAATAATGGCTTGGTTAATGAAATAATAATTATGAATAGGCATGCAAGACTGAGAAGGACATATGTCATCATACCGGTTCAATAAAAACAATACACCAAATGCAAACTATAGCAAAGTAAAACTTTTAAACGCAAAAATGATGCATGTCAGTTAATTGCAGACAAGTCCCTTAATTAAAATAGTAAGAAATCCCACAATTGCATTTTTAAAAAGGAGTTAATACTGTTTTTGTTGTGACATTGTTAGTAGCAGTTCCAGAGTAGTTGCAACAGCTAAATCAATGGGATCCATTAAACCTCGTTGAACATATTTTGGTATTGTAGTCCGAGCATGATCCAAACCAAGTTTTTCCAACAACCAGCTAATGTGAGGATTAATTTGACCACTTGCCCAAGTAGATTTGCCCATTAATAAAATATGTGGCTCTACATCCCAGCGAATACTTACAAAATTTCTCATGTTCTCATTAGATAGTTCCCTCCCTTGAATTTGAGTGCCACAAAATGGAGGTCCTAAGCAAAAATGTGATAATAAAAGGCAGTACAGTGGAACCTCAAAATGCAGACACCATTGGAACCACCCCAAAGTGTCCTGATTATAGGGGTGTCCTTAACTCAGGGGTTTTTAAAACAATAACATATTAATAAACTAACACATGAACTCCAGTGCTGTTGCTATGATGAAGAACTCTTATTGTCGCAGTCACCCTAGCAACAGGGTGAACAGAGAAACAGGATATGAACTAGAAATTCCTTGCAAGTATCGCTCGTATGGCTTAGAAACATTCTCGCAGAAGTTTGAAAGATATTCTTCAAGCCATTATTCAGCATGGCCTCATTACTTTAGTAAAATTATTACATTAATTAGTAAAACTCCACCCTGGGGTGTGGCTAATGTCCACATTATGGGGTCTTTTCTAATGGCCAGCATGCAGTTGGGGACCTAGAAAGTGGCCGCATTACAGAAAAACAAGGTGTCCTTAACTGAGGGGTTCGCTAATACAGTGTCCTATGGCTTTTTGTCCAGGACCAGCAGCAACTGTCTGCATTATCACAATGTCCATATCTTAGGGGGTCCGCATTTTGTGGTTCCACTGTAATGCATTGTAAATTACCATAAAATACATTAGGTTAGGATATACTTGCGGCTGCAACTTTATGAGGTAATGAAACTATTCAATAAAATACAAGTGAAACAAGTAGAGCATTGCTATGAGTTAGGTGCTCCATTCATCATCTATTCTTTAGTAGCTTTAGTGGAGCTATTTACAATTAGCAACTCATTTTTTATATATTAGCTTCTTGTATGGAACTGGACCTCTGAGCTTTAAGGAAGGCGAGAGTTTCAAGGTGCTGCAAGACAGCAGTCCTAAATCAAACTTATCAAAGCATCTCTAAAGGGACCAAGGGTCAGCACCAAAATACTTACCAACACTGCAGTAGTGTTCTTTGCTTCAATACTAAGTTGATTTTTTCTAAAATAGCATCTGCAATTGCTAGTTGCCAGAAAAATAGTATATAAGTGCAGCCGCAAATATATCCCAACATATGGTGCATGATTTCAAACTTACGAAATGAAATCTTTTGCTCCTCCAAATGATCAACGTAACCTTTGAATAGGTCATGAAGAAACAAGTAATTTTCTACTGCAGTTGTCACAGCAATGCTCTCAGAAAATGATGAAAAGACACTGCACTCTACAGTACACAAAGGTTTTTCAACAGAGTTTACACACTTTAACAAAGTGTCTAACGAAGGCCAGAAATGATCATTTATCATAGTCACATTTAAGGCTGGAAATCCAATAACCTGTTGTATAGTAAGTTTTTGGCTCTGCTTTAGAAACAGTTTTCCATGTCCTGAAGTATCTTTACTTGAATGTATATAATGATGTATGCAAGCAAAATGTAACCACTCTGCAATTTCTTTATGAGATATAGGAGGAATTCCACCACGACCAACTGAAACACGATATATTGCAGCCAATTCAGATTTTGTTGAGATATTTTGGCCAAGGAATATTTTGCATGATTGACTGCATATTCGTGCCAAAACATCAGATTTGCGTACTTCATTTAGCTCTCCTAAGCCAGGAATAGCTATAGTAGAAAATTGGCCACCAAGAAAGTTGATGTTTAATGTTGCCCACTCAGTTTCACGAAATGAAGTACCGTGAAAACATACAAGACAAAAGTTGTCTCCACTAATGTCAATCTTGCCTCCTAATGATACATTACAATCATGACTGTCCAAATTTGTTAACCCCTTCAAAAATGCAGTATTTCCAAACTTGACAGCCCACATCCAGTGATGGTATTCCATAAATGGGCTATCTAAAATTAAAACATAATTATAAACAACAATTTTGATTATAGGGTTCAATATTTATTACTTAATTATTGATATAATAATTGTTGAATATCAACTTCACAACCAAGGAAACACTTCGTAATCAAGTAAACAATTACGTACTATGGTCATAATTATTAAAGTATTTACAATGTAATTGCATTCAAAAAAACTTAATAAATATCAACAAAAAAAGGGTTGCTTTAAAATGATATTCATTGCTCATGACTTATTAATACATGCTTTCACTCAATATTGAAGCTATATGAAAAAATAAATTTATTTGGAAACAATATCAAAAATTTACACTTATCATTACTTTTCAATATTTCAATTTACATGCATCTTAGTAAAGTGAAAAAGTACTACTAGAAAAACCAAACTTAACTTTGCTTCGTCAAAATCAAAAAGTAAAGGTGTAGAAAGTCATACAAAATAAAATAATGAGCATTATTTAGACATACAGTACAAAAAATTTGTTATAAACAGAGTAAGGCTGTACACTACCCTGCAGCGGCCATGGAGTAAAGTATTGTTGAGCACTGAAACATTCCAAAGATGCTTCTCTCGGCTCACTCAGTTATTTGAGTTTACATGTGTTGCCACTATCTACTTCTAAGAGTTGTCAAGCAGCCATTTGTTACAGACCATGTGCAATACTATTGTCACATTGCACATGGACCATTGAACTACCCGTTTGCAAAAGCGTAACTGAGAATAAACTACATGCAACTTTTTGGTTTGCACTGCATACAAGTAAGCTTGTTTGTCTAATACAGACAAACACTGCGCTTTGCAATAACTATAATAATTATGTCTTACCTATGTTACTTTTTTCAGCACGCTTTTGATCTTCCTGATAAGCTGCAAAGGCAGTTGATGCTGCAGTTCCAGGAGGAAGCATCAATCCAATCGTTCTCTCACTCCTCTTTTTTTGCTGCATAACAAAATCATACATTCTTTGAGCAATACCAAAAGCAGCTGCAGCAGTTGAACGATGCATTGCTAATTGAAAAGCAGTCCATTTTAACTTAGCACTAATTTGAATGCCCACAGAAGACTGCTGAGCAACATCACTTTGAGAAACATCATTCCATACATCACAAGCTTCAGCACAAATGTCAACAATTCTTAATAGCAATATGTGTGCACTCATGTAGTCTATGTGACCCTGAAGGACACCCAGATTGATAAGAATATTATGCTCTGGAACAGTGTCTTCTTGACTAGACACCAGTACTAAAAAGAATGTCATATGTTAAATACAATAATTTGATGTAGTAGGAACTTTTATAACACAAAAAAATATTAACAATCAAAACACTTTTACCATTTAGCTGTAACATTTTCATTGTTAAATCACCAGCAACAACTCCTCCCTCAGCTGTAAAATCAATTTCTTCAATTCCGCCATTGCACATCAACAAAATAAGTTTATTTTGGTGAACATCAGCATGACCAATTCCATGTACATGTGAAAACAGTATGCTATAGTTACGAAAAAGTATAACAAAATTTTAAATATGTATGGTCACAGTAGGACTATGCAAAACAGAAACAAAAGCAAATATTTTTTAACAGAATAGTTTTAGAGATTTTATTAGGACAAAGCAACTACATATATGTGGATAAAACATATAATAACCAAAAAGAGGGTTTAACAAGTATAAAAGAGCACTAAAGTGCCAACAGTCGCAGCACTCTGGTGTTTGGTTAAAATAAATGCATAAAAGTGAGAGTAACACTCAGTGAAAGTTCTGACACAAACGCGAGGCACCTACTGTGCTTGGACTTGCCACAGTTGCTCTTGAATTTATGCACTACTGACAGAAATAAATCATGGCCTTCATCTCTATCATGCAGCATGCATGAAGATTCAAAGACTAACAATATTCATTGCTTTTAATAGAGCATGATCTGCACCAACTCAAGTCAAACGAGCTAAAAAACTAGAACCTATACCTATTATGTTGGCACAGATACTGTAATTCTATTTACTGAAGGCATCGTGCAAAAGACAGCAAACAATAAAATTATGTAATAAGAGATAAAATGCAAGCATCTGAGATGGCATGTAAAATTGCCAATTATTAATAAAGTCGTGGCTTCTTCACCAATAAAAATGGCCTTATCATGACATGTGACTAATAAAGCTTAAGTTTTCTTCTTACAAGTGGCTTATGATAAGTAATATGACACAATACAATACATTTAAAAGAGTTAAGAGAGTCTAGTACTGCTATCGTACTACACTTCTGCCTCAATCCTTCACAAAGTTGGACGGCCATGATCAAGTTCGGAGCATAAGTTGCTACCAAGGAAGAGTTAAGCCCAACATACACTATGCAACATTTGTTGCAAACAAAATGTTGCAACTTTTTGCATTCAACACAGTTTATACAGGAGTCAATGGAGTTTGCAACATGTTGCATGAAATAGAACCGTTCCTACTTCAGGCAACACGTTACGAGCTCCATTCAATCCTGTAAAACTGTGTTGCATGCAACAAGCTGCAACATTTTGTTTGCAACAGTATGTTGGGCTTAAGAAATTCCACACATATTAATCCATGAGAAGATAGCAGCAATCTTCTATATAATGGTTTTGTCCATCTCAAGAATGTCAGCACAATTGCTGTATTCTTTTTAATTTTCTCCCTTACTTGGCAAGCTTCTTCTTCCTAGAGTTGCTCTTTAAACTTTTTACCTGACAAATGAAGGCATGGACAAGCTTTAGTAAAAATCTATAAGTCTAAAGGACTCAGGTATTCAATTTATAAAGCTTTTTAAAAAAATCCAATTAATAATTCATGATGACACACAACCAAAGTACTTAATGCGTACCTACATGTACCTGGTAAGTCCCATGCAACTTTAGCAAGTTGACTGCACCGCTGCTGTAACATGTCTCCAATGAAGGTGTGGCTTCATTAAGCCATTGTCAACCCAAACACACAGTAATATTGGCTTAAGTGGTGAAAAAAGCTATAGTTTGTTCGACTTTTAATTAGTTTAGCTTACATTTGTTAGGAGCATACAAACCTTTATTCAGTCCCTGATGTACAGCTGCAGAAAAGAGCATCGAAAAGAGCATCGTGTAAACTCAAATGTTTGGGTTATCATACCTTTTTAAAAAAGTCAAATGGAGCAATTTCTTACACATTATTGGAAAGATAAGGTTTGTTGTATCATCTTACTTCTCATGCTACTTTTAAACCACAAAAAGATACATTTATACCGACTACATTTGGCACATTGTAGGCTTTTTCTGCCTTAGAAAAGATAAGTCACTCATTTTCCCTGAAGGAAAGAGTTTTCATGAAATCCTGTGTTGATAATAAAACTCAACAGGATTTCACAAAAAAGCAGTGTTAAGTCAAAAGTCAAGTTTAAGTAAACACACACTCAGACAAGACAACTGCTTTACCCTCGTTTCAGGCCTCTGTGTGGCTCAGGCAATAAGGAAAGATGGACAAGTCTAAGACAAAAAATGATAGTCCTAAACCTCTCCATAGCAATTCGATCATAAATTACCAGAACTTTGTACCACAGCATTGCCATTGATTATATTCTGCTCAATAAGCATTCAATGCCAAAGGAAAAAAGGAAATTGCTACAAATCTTCATACACATCGACATAAGTAAAACCAAAACAAATAAAACTAACCATAATGTTGCTAACAAAGCAATACTTAATGTAGGATGTGGTCACAAAATGGGGATAAATGGAGGGTATTGTACATCTGTTGCTGCAACAAGAAACAGCAATATAGAACACATTACACTTGGTTTCAACAAAGCATCACTCGCAAAAGCACTATGACCACTAGCAGAAATAGCTGATTTCCTCTCTAAAGAAAAAAACTTGTTCTTCCAGTTTTACATAACATTTAACATAACATTCCTAATAAATGTCTCAAAATAGAAAGACACTGACTCTAAATAACAAGCATTTAAAGCGAAAATTGAGCGATTACATGATCCACCATGAGAGCTTCCTGTTGCTCAACTATACAATGTCAAGAGTAGATCCCCAGCGAGTAGCAACATCTACTTTAAGTTTTGAGTAACTAAGGATACCTTTCTCCTCTTGTACTTCTCTACAATCTCTGGTTTTCTTCCAGCAAAGAGTAAAAGCACCCATTACCACTTTTATTACACAATCTACTCGACTATGTGTCAGACCTCCCCTGATTGCTAAGCCTAAGTTGAGTCCAAAAGAATTCAAATGTTTCCATCTAAGTGGAGCACGAGCTCATCTGATGTTCGAACCGTTGTCAACTGTTATGCAAACATGCTTAGTAATATCTAAATTCCAATAAATGAGAGCTTTATTCAGGAACTCCATTATAACTTCTCCTGTGCAAATACGGCAAATATTGTATTTGCTTTGAATATCCCAATTGCTTTCCACATAATGGACAATAAAACTGATGTAAAGATCTAGAGCTCTCGAAGTCCATAAATCAGTGGTGCTAGCAAAGTGTGTAACTTTATTTAACAATTTTTGCTCAATTTTCTTTAGAGCCTCACAATAGATAATGGAATAGCATTTCAAGTGAAGTAGTTGTAATTAGGAACCTCATACTTGGAAATGAATTCACGTAGCATCTTATTTAGTCCTGGTTCCACAACAACACTAAGGGGATACATATCTTTTCCCGAAAAGTAAGTTACGGACTTGGTCAATCTCTTGCATTCTTGTGTCTAGCTTCCTGCTTTTTTGAGCGCTTCTTTGATTGATTATGAACCTTTTTTTGTTGGTGTCTCTGCTTTTGTTTTAGGTTTCACCTCCAGGTATTGCTCTGGGTGCTGATTTTTGAGATGAAAGTAGAGGTTGCTTGTGTATTGCTGTATTTGGCTGATACTGAGACCCAGCATAGACAGCACACTGTGTTTTCACTATCACTTGCCTTTCCATTCTCATCTAGCTTCAACACAAGTACTTCCACACTTTACCTTTGGTATTCCACTACTCAGTTAGCCTGATTTCCTCAACTTCGGTGACCTATGTGTCTGTAGCAACGGAAGCTACTTATACTTAAAACTTACATGCGGTCAGTATACTAGGTCAGGATAATATAGTAATACATGGCATACTGAGCAATTCAATATTATTGTTATAACTAAAAATAGGCAATACTACATGCCACCACTTTGTGCCGTAAGGTATTACCACCATGATACTGCAATATTGCCCTGGCTACTCTTGGGCATTGCTATGGCAATAAGCACATGCCCATACTAGTCTAGTTAATGATAGATCACTTTGTGCATTTAATGCCAAGAAAGTGCCAGTATGCATTATCAGATAGACCCCTTAAGTAAGAATTAGTTTGTGATGCTATATTTGTGTACCAATAAAAGAAAAATTTCAAAATATTTCAATCCACCATTTTTTACATCAAAATGCCCATTGCTTGTGCCACAATCGACAAGAGAAGCACAATACGAGGTATTATTCCTTTTGCACAGACCAAGAAAGAAAAGTAAAGTGGATTGCTGCCATCAAAAGAGATAAATGGCACCCCAGCAAGTATTCTAAAGTCTGTACTGACCATTTCAAGTATGGTAGGTAACCATTACTATTATTGTTCAGTTAGTTTTAATGTTTTAATGTGTCAAACAGGTAAACTATTTGTATTCCTAACTCATCCACATTATGCATCATCATTATTTACCTACCAAACAAGTAGTAATACCAAGTCAACAGAGGATTATTACTGGAGAGCTGTTAAGTGAAGCAAACAGGTTAATGAGAAAAAAATGTATTACTCCCCAGGTTACTAGTTTGCTTCAGGATGATATGCCTACTGTCCTTACCCAAACGACAGCTAATGATACTTTGTCTCAAGCTAAAGATGTACTACTGAGGCTGATTCAGCTCTCATTGATGGAGCATGTGATGTGGACCAATTGACAAGTGACTTCACTGCAAGCAACAATGAAGAAGAGGTATCACCTGCATTACTTTTGACAGGAGGATAACGATGAATTACCAATAGTGATGGAATCAAACGAAGAATTTCAATCACTTGATTTGATCGGTGATGACAACAATAATAACAGAACTGCTTTAACCCTGCAAAATAGTTGTAATGCAGAGGACATGGCAAGTACAATGACATTGCAAAAAGGAGATAATGATGAATTGCCAATAGCTGTGGAATCAAATGGAGAATTTCAATCACTTGACGACAGTACTGCTTGAGCATTATCAGGTGATGGAGCGGTATCAAGCACATTGATGTTGATGGAATCAAAAAAGGTACTTCAATAACTTGACAACAGTACTGCATTAACATCGTCAAAAAAAGATGGCATTGCTGACATTGATAATGAAGGATAAGATCTGGAATTGGAGACTGAATGCATTGCTAGATATGAAAATGAATTGACTGCAAAGGAGTTAGAAATAGGCGAACTGCAGGTCGAAAAAAAAAAGGTTCATCTAAGAGAATACCTATTTAATGGAACATTTACAAATGATGCAAGTCCAATTAAATCTGTCTTATCATCTCTTTTTCAAGCAGCATACAAAAAAAGAAAAAATCAGTGAAGTTATCCTCCAGAACAATGATACCAAAACCTGTTTTTACACAGGTCATCCTACACATGAATTGTTTGTGTGTATTTTTAAGCTAATTCAGCCAATAATGAAGACAAATTTCAGAGTTAAATTGTTCTCAATTATTAAATGAATTCCTTCTTGTTTTGATGAGACTTCGATTGGGTACCAGAAGGCTTCATACAACTAAAGGTAGAGTGAGTGGCATCTTCCATAAATGATGGATGTTCTGAGTGATGAACTAAAGTGCCTAATATCACGGCCTGATGATGAGAAACTTCATCAGTGCATGCCCCAGTGCTTCTAAAAGTACTGCTCAAGTGTGACATGTACTATAGACCTGCTTTAAAATATTTATTTAGATGCCAGCTGGATTTAGCTCTCAGGCAGCCTCATACAGTAACTTTAAGAAGCAAAACACTGTTAAGGTACTAATTGGGATTAAACCAACTGGGTCCATATTGTTCATATATCACAAGCTTGGGGTGGGCATATTTCCGATAGGGCAATAACAGCAAAGTCAGGGTTTTTAGATTTTCTCGTCTACTGATTCCACCCTTGACAAGGAAAAAAGCTTAATTGCCAGCACTGGAAGTTTAGAAAGCTCGTTAATTATCTCATGTCAGATTTTATGTGGAAATAGTAATTGGGCAATTAAGGAAGATATGCAAGATATTGCAGAACAGGTTACCAAATTGTTTAATTCAATGTCCTTCGGACAAATGTAAACTTAATTGTACAATTGATAAAACTTTAGTAGCTACTGCTGCATTAACTACCGTCTATCCAGAAATTTTTGCTGCAATTAAATTTTTACTCCATGCTTAATTTGCAAAAATAAAATATCATACAAATTAAGTTTTGTTAAAAACTTTACAAAGTAAAATTTTCCTTTTCGTATGATATAAATAACATAACGGTATTTATACCACGTGTTTCAACTTTCAAGCAAGTGTCTATAGAAAGAATATGTCTATTCTTCAGTACTACAAGCCTGTCTCTAAGGGATACAATGACGTTCCTGATCCTCGTGGCTCTTTATCTATATCTGTGCCTTCCTCTGCTATAGCAGCTGCCAACAAAGAAGTGCTGGAAATGAAAGTGGATAAGGCCAAGAAACGGCGATCTAAACGTGGCCATTACTTTAGTTATACTGCTAAACAGAGGGCTGAAATAGGAAAATATGCTTCTCTAAATGGAACCCAAGCTGCAAAAATAAAGTACAGTAGAGAGTTGCAGATTACTATTGAGAGCACAGTAAGGAAGTTCAAAAAATTGTATAAGGTGGAGTTGGCAAAGAGTAGGATCAACATAAACAGCTTACCTGTGACTGAATTAAGCTTGAAGAAACGAGGAAGGCCATTGTTGTTAGGAGATCGTTTAGATGAAATGGTGAAACGTTATATTGCTGATACTAGGAAAGTTGGTGGTACAATTGGCATTGATACAGTTCGTGCTGGAGCTAGAGGAATATTGCTGAACCTTGATCAAAGTAAACTAGC